GCCTCGGGCCGGGTGGTCTCCGCCCGCGTGGCTGCCCCCGAGCCTCCGCGTGGCTGCCTCCTCGGCCTGTCTCCTCTGCGGCCCGGACGCCCCACCCCCCGGCCCAGCGACTGCGGCTCTGCGGCCGCCCCGCTGGGCCTCACAGGCCCCTCGGCCGTGTGCAGCCGGGGACAGGACGACCCGTGGCCCCCGTCGAGCGTCTTCCCATCGGGGTGCCTGGCGGGTCCGCGTGGTGGTCCCAGCGGCCTTTGCAGCGTCTCGTTTACGCTGCTGGAGGGGGACGAGGAGGGGTGCCCCTGGGGTGCATCCAGCACGTGACCGCCCCCTTCTCCGCCCATGGCTGGGGGCCAAAGCCTCACGTGTCCAGGTGCTAGTGACTTTTTCCCGTGGTAGAGGAGGCTGCCTCTTACCCACCCGCCCAAGGTAACGTGGTGAGATATGAGATATGCGTGGGTTGTGTTTCAGTGAACCAGTTGCTATGGGTGCCGTCGAATCTGGGAAATTTTATATATATTTATATATATATATAAATAATTTTAATTACCATTTTTATGTATAAGTCATTATATTATTTATTATATATCATATAGAAATATAGCTTTTTATTTTTATTTCTTTTGAATCGGGGTCTCACACTGTCTCCCAGGCTGGAATGCAGTAGCATCATCGTGGTGGAACTACAGGCCCGTGCCACCACGCCTGGCGAGTTTTTGGATTTTTTGTAAAGAAGGAGGTCTTGCTATGTTGCCCAGGCTGGTCTTGAACTCTTGGGCTCAAGCAGTCCTCCTGCCTCGGCCTCCCAGAGTGCTGGGATCACAGGCATGAGCCACCGTGCCGGCCCAGAGATTCTTTTTGGTACTTTTATCATGACTTACTGATCCATCAGCGACTGACCATCTTTTCTGTTCTCTCAGTTGATGTTTTCATTTTTCAGGTTGGGAATAAAGATAATAACTGGTCGCTGTGTGCCAAGTGCCTCTCAAGGCACTTTGGGAATACAAAGATAAGGAGACACAGCCTTAGGAACAGCTTTAAAGTCTGTAAATGACTCCACGTTGCTGCACATTGAGTGTTAGAACAGGAGATTAGGTCGTTGGCGAACTCAACACCTGGACAGTTCCTGGGGTGGTAAACAGTCTGTCTTCTGTGATTTGCCTGTTAGAGGTTTGGACGGTGCTCTGTGCTTGGTACACAGAGGAAGCTGGCGAGGTCCTCAGTGTTCACAATCTGTAGAAGTCAGGGGAAAGGAGGCGTGTGATGGTGTAAGAGTTTTGAGGAGGGAGATGGGATGATATGATGAAAGGGCATGGAGGAAGTGAGAGCAAGATTAAGTGACTCTAAGGAGGTGACCTTTGGAGCAGGTGGGAGACTCCTGCCTCCTGGAAGGACAAGGAGTAAGGTGGAGTGAAGGTGGTGTGTCGGATGTAGTTTTGAGGTCAGTGAAGCCAGGGACCTTGGAGGTCTTGGCAGGGATAGGATGGAGCTTGGTTCTGATGGATAAGTCCGGTGTTCTGGGAGTTTCTTGCAACGTGACTACAGCTGGACCCCTCCTCAGACTAGCTAGTTAAGCAGAAAATCTCCAGGACACAGGCCCAGGTAGGCAGGTTTGAAAAATGACCCAGAGGATTTTATCAAACAACTAGGGGTGGGAGCCACTGGGTTTTCAGGTGGAAGAGTGGTTATATGGAAGCTGGAGAGATTGGCCGGAGCCCCCTGTTGACTTTCCATCATTCCTTCATTAGGGGCTTGGGAGCCGTGGGAGAGCTGCTCCAGACTGGTATGACGGGAGGCTCGGGGGCAGGAGGGTCGGTGGTGCCCGTTCCTACCTGCCACGCAGGCACTGTGTTAAGCACTTCGTGTGCCTCATCTTCAGTCCTCATGGTAACCCACCAGAAACCGAGCAGGACTCTCGAGGAGCCAGAGTCCTGAGTGTTGGGTGAGGGGAGTGGGGAGGGCTGTGGTGGTGAGTAGGCCATTACAGGACCTCCTGGAAAGGTGTGTGAGGCTGGCAGCACCGAAACGTGGAGGAAGGAAGAGATGACGGGGAGAGAAGGGTTGTGAAGGAGGAGGTCTGGGAGGTGGGTGTGCAAGGATGAGTCTGGCGGGTTGGGTGTCATGTGGGTGTGTCGTGGTGGATGGGAAGATCTGGGGTGGGGTGGAATTAGCACCTTCATTTTTTGTCTCAGTGGGAATCTCTCCAGGGTGCAGGGTTCAGTTCAGGAAAGCTGAGTTTGGGTTGAGTTATCAGTCCCAGGATTCTTGGATGTCTGAGCCCTCATGATAGCTAATGAAGCTGTAGGCCCGGAGGAACTCCAGCAAGAGGTCCTGAGTGAGTTTTTGAGTAATTTGAGAAAATCCAAGCATACCCAGGCTCTGGCCCACCCCCACTAATTGTACCTCATAAGGATATTGTTTAATCTTAGTAGATAAAATGTTAGTTATTAGTTATGACCGAACTTGTATTTTTCTGAGTCTCATATTTGCTCCCAGGCTTCATGTTCTGGAATTATCTACCTGCTTTTTTAGTGCTTTTTCAGGGAATGTTCATTGGTGGGCCTTTATTTTTTTCCCTGGTAGTAGCATTCTTTTTTTTTTCCCCTTCTCTCTCTGTTATGTAATTGATTAATCATTTTGTATGATTTTTCCTTTTCATTTTACATGCTAGAAGAAGGGAGGTTGTTTACTTTTTTTGCACATCCTTAACGGTTTGTTCAGATTTTAGTAATTTGCTTTTTTCTCTTGATGTTTATTCTTCATCCAGGATAATTGCTAACAGGAAAATAGTTCACCGAGTTACTGTAGTAACTTGTCAAGTTTTTTTGTTTTTTTTTGAGTTGGAGTCTCACTCTGTCACCCAGGCTGGAAGGCAATGGCATGCTCCTGGCCACTATAGCCTCGACCTGCTGGGCTCAGGCGATCCTTCCGCCTCAGTCTTCCAAGTAGACTTAACAAGTTTTTAAAGCCTCATATATCAACTAAACTTTTAAAATTCAACCTAGTGCCAGCTTTTTCTTTTTGTTATTTCTCATTAAGTTTTCTGTACTGAATGTTCAGGAATTTCTTAAAATATGGTAAGAAGTCATTTCAGTAATTACATTATAGCACACTACCAACTTTATTTGATGATTTCTTTATTGCTTTTTGTTACATTTTCCATTTGTACAGAAAGTTAAAATAGTAATTGGGTATTTGGAATCTGAAAGCTTCAAGTGTATTTTGGTAACACTGTTATTTGGATTTGAATGGCACAAGCATGGGAACCACCTGCTCGGGGTGTTGCTGAAATCTGTTTCTTACGTTTTTAGAGGCTTCGTGACGGAGTGATCAGAGACATTGAGAGGCAAAATCGGAAAAAAGAAAACATTCGTCTTTTGGGAGAACAGATTATTTTGACTGAGCAACTTGAAGCAGAAAGAGAGAAGATGCTATCGGCAAAAGGATCTCAAAAAACGTGACTTGAATGTGAAATATCAGTGGGACAGACAGCACTGAGTGTGTGTGTGTGTGTGTGTGCGCGCGCGTGTGTGCGTGTATGAAGGGTAGCTTAGTGACATCTTAACTTTTTTCTGTCACTATCCTTTTCAACTTGGTCAAATAAAGGACAGTGGATCATATATCCTAAATTACTGCTTTCGGAGTCCCTTATGTCTGAATAAAGAAGGGTGGGTGGATGCTCTTCTGAGAGTTTCTGTGTGTGTGGTCCTGGTAGAAGCCCCTTTTAGTTAGTGGCCAGAGCTCAAGATTGCTCTGCACCTGTGAGAAGGAAGGGATGGATAGTAACATCCACCTGGGGAGTTTGATAAGTCGTCACGATGATGAAGCCACGAGAACATCTACCTCGGAAGGGCTGGAGGAGGGGGAGGTGGAGGGAGAGACTCTCCTGATAGTTGAATCAGAGGACCAGGCATCAGTGGATTTGTCTCATGACCAGAGTGGGGACTCCCTCAACAGCGATGAGGGAGATGTGTCGTGGATGGAGGAGCAGCTGTCCTACTTCTGTGACAAGTGCCAGAAATGGATACCGGCCAGTAAGGAGCCTCTCAATTCCTTTGATTTGTCAGTACCTGTATGAAAGAAACATGAATGTAAAATAGACCTAAATAAAAGGATAATTATATTTGTTAGTTGATCAGCTATACATTTATATAAAATATACACATTTGTATGAATAAAAGTTGTCAACCTCTATCACATTGTTAAATTAACATTCTTGATGGTAACTCAATAAAAAAGAAAATTGTAAATCCTGTGTACTTAAAAGAATTAGCCACTTTTTTTTTTTTTGAGTTGGAGTCTCACTCTGTCACCCAGACTGGAGTGCAGTGGCATGCTCATGGCCATGGCCACCGCCACCTCGATCTGCTGGGTTCAGGCAGTTCTTCTGCCTCAGCCTTCCAAGTAGCTGGAACTACAGGCGTATGCCATCATGCCTGGCTAATTTTTTAATTTTTAATTTATTGTAGAGACGAGGTCTTGCCAAATTGCCCAGGCTGGTCTCGAACCCCTGGGCTCAGGCAATTATCTTGCTTTCACCTCCCAAAGTACTTGGATTACAGGTGTGAGCCACCACACCCGGCCATGTTTTTCTAACAAGATCATTTTATAGATTTGGGGCCAAATTCTATCAGTGTATAATTAATGTTCAAGTTCATAAAAATTACTGTTAATATTTAATTTATGAGGCAAACTACTGCTATTGTATACTACAGTGAGGTTAGAATGGGCAGATTGAAGGTGTATAGGTCCGGTCTTTTTTCCCACTTGCTGGAAGGAGATACTTGCTACCTGGTTGCCCCAGCCTTGAGATTTTCAGCTACCAGCTCTGGTTCTTGAGCATGGCTTGCCAGCCATTATAGGGTCCATACTGACAGAGTTTTTGCATTAGGCGAGAGACTAGCAAAGCATAAGTACTTGAGGAATGCCTTTGCGTAATAGAGTTTGTAACTAAGAGAAGTTTGTGTTTATATTATTGTAAAGTGGATCATTTTCTGGTATGTGGAAATGTTTTTGTTAAAATGGATTCAACTATTTAAATTTAGTTAATAGTAACATTTTCACAGAAAACAAATGTAGAATTTCTTACTTATTAGCTGGTTTTTGCTTCTGTGCTGTCTCTTATTAATCCTGGGTTCTGCCTAAACCTCTGAGTGGCTTTCCTTTTGCCTTTACAGGATAGATTTTTAAACAGCCCTTTGTGATCAGGCCCCTGCTAACTTGAGCCTCTTTTATCCCCATGCAAACAACTTTGCAGTTAAGGTGACCTTTCTATTCTTTTTTAAACCTAGGGCTTTGCACCTTTTTTTTTCCTCTCTGGAATAAGCATCTCCCCAGCCTCTGCGCCCTTCCCTACCCATCCCTCTTCACCTGGCCAATTTCTAGCCCTCCAGGCTCTGCTTTCCTAATGTAGGTGGGGCATCCCTTTTATGTGTCCTCGTGCTGCCCGGGACACATCACATTTCACTCCTATGGTCTTCATGCCTCCCAGAGCATCAGCCTTACCTGGAGGACTTTAAAAATTACAGAGGCCAAGGCTCTGCCTCAGAGGTTGGTTTGTTTCATTTAGACCCAGGCATATTTAGAAAACCAAAAACCACTCCTTGGGTGGTTCTGGTGTGCTGTGAGGATGGAGAAACACTGTGCCGTTGTGATTACTTTCTTCTGTACTGCCCTCGGATATGTGAACCTGTAAGAGCAGGCACATGTCTTTCTTGGACGTTATATTCCTGGTTCCTAGCCCAATACCTGGCACAAGGTGGGGGGCCATATTTTTTGGGGAAAAAAATGTGTAAAGAGACCTGCCCTCAGGAGTCAGGAATGTGACAGTTGGAAAACCCAGAGCAATGATACTGGCTTTTCCAGTGCTGTTCTAAAAGTTAAGAAATCAGAGTCTAGTGGGGTGGGTGTGTACTTGGTGTTAGAAGAATAAAAATCTTTTCTCCCTCACCCCCTGCTATCGTGGGTTGGCTGAAAAAAAGAAAATACAACATGGGAAACTTGGAAAATCTGACAAGCTGACAAAACCCTTGGGTTGCCGCTGCCCTAGAGAAACCTATGATGTGATTCTCTGTTTTTCTCCTAGGTCAGCTGAGGGAACAGCTCAGTTACCTTAAAGGTGATAATTTTTTTAGGTTTACTTGTTCTGACTGCTCAGCAGATGGCAAGGAGCAGTATGAAAGGCTGAAGCTGACGTGGCAGCAAGTGAGTAACAAGCCCTTCTTTGGTGTTCCTGGGGGTGGTCCTCCCAGGAGTTTGTTGGAATGAATGTCTAGAGTGAGGAGAGCTTACAGATGAGCTTTTGAGTTGCTTTGAAGGGGCACTTTTTTGTTTCACGATGAAAATTGGATACTGAATATGTGGAGAAAGGTGTTCTTGGTGAAAAATACTTGCTGCTTACTTAGTGAATTGGGTTTGAGATTCTTGAAAACTCATCTGATTTTATTTATGTGTAATACCAAGCTCTGATCATAGTTAAAATGAAGTTCACATTTTCTGACAGTCATTTTAAGAACAATAAAACCAGTTTTAAAAATACAAAGAAGGCCAGGTATGGTGGCTCAAGCCTGTAATCCCAGCATTTTGGGAGACTTAGACGAGAGGATTGCCAAAGACCAGGGGTTCGAGACCAGAGACAAGGGGTTCGAGACCAGCCTGGGCAACTTGGTGACACCTCATCTCTACAATAAACAAAATAGTTAGCCAGGTGTGATGGCGCGCACCTGTAGTTCTAGCTACTTGGAAGGCTGAAGCAGAAGGATTGCCTGACCCCAGCAGGTTGAGGCTGTGGTGGCTGTGAGTGTGCCACTGTACTCCAGCCTGAGTGAGACTCCAATTAAAAAAAAAACAAAGATGACTACATTGGAAACACATTTGGAAGAAGTAATGTGATTGATTGCAAAAACCAATATAACTTAGCTTTTCTGCATTTGAACTCAGATGTTTGACTGTTTTTGTTTGATGAAATTCTTATGTTTACTTTTAACCATCTGAAATACCAATACCTTAATCCCTGATCCAAGCCAACTATAGCCTCAATAATAGCTTTTTATTGATTGCCAGTTTGCATTAAAATTTTTTATTTTGTTTTTATATCAGTATGCATATATATAATAATAAGGCACAAATGTATGTATACTTTTTAAATCCAAAAAACAAATGAATTATGTATTACTGACCTAATTTTTATGTTTATTTATTCAACAAATACTGAGTGCCTTAATGAACCAGGCACAATACTAGGCCTGGCGACTACTGTGGTGATCACTGCTAATGCCTCTACCTTGAAGCAGCTGACATTCTACAACATTTACTTTAGGCCATAAGCAGATACACAAGATAATTATCCACAGCACCTTTTGCTTTGAAGGAAATAAGCAGGGTAATGAGAAAGACTTTATACAATTTATTAAACATTTACTGTGTAAATTGTACTTGTTAACAGCCTTATACTATTATCTTATTAGGACATCTAATGAGATTGCTCAGTGGTTAATTTGAGAATGCTTTTTTTGACTTGCCTGAAAATATATTTGGAAAATGAAGGGCAGTTTGTATTGAGGATATCAGCTTCGTGAATACTGTAATTGGGATGTTTTTCTCAAGTGTATATGGGATGCTGTGTCTGGACAAGGTCGTGTTAATAGATTATTGTGATATGTGCACACAGGTCATTTATATTGGGCCTGCAGGTAGTTTCTTATAAGAGCTGTAAATTGCATGAAGAGCAAATGTGTGTGATTTATTATTTTCAAGAATTAATTTTCTGTAGAGGTGCTTTTTTTGTTTGAGTTAGAGTCTCACTCTGTCGCCTAGGCTGGAGTGCAGTGGCATGCTCACGGCCACCATAGCCTCAACCTCCTGGGCTTAGGCCATTCTTCTGCCTCAGCCTTTCAAGTAGCTAAAAGTATAGGTATATGCCACCATGCCAGCAAGTTTTTTGATTTATTGTAGAGACGAGGTCTCACCATGTTGCCCAGGCTGGTAATCTCATCTTAGCCTCCCAGAGTGCTGGAATTATAGGCGTAAGCCATCACGCCCAGCTTAGAGGTACTTTTTAAAAGAAAAGCTGACTTTTGTTGATATTGCTCAGAATATATAGTCTTGGCTCAATTTGCATATTTAATTATTGTTATTGTTTAGAATGTTAATTTTCTGTAGTGACTCCTTTTAAAAGAAAAGCTAGCCAGGCGTGGTGGCTCACATCTGTAATCCTACCACTTTGGGAGGTGGAGGCCAGAGGATTGCCTGATCCCAGGGGTTCAAGAGCTCTTCTCTACAGTAAAAACAAACAAACAAACAAACAAACAAATAAATAAATAAGTGGGGTGTGGTGGGTCATGCCTGTAGTTCTGTCTACTTGGAAAGCTGAGGCAGAACAATCTCCTGAGCCCAGGAGGTTGAGGCTGTGGAATTAGTTTCTCACTTCCCAAAGACATACTGACTGTGGAGTATAGCCAGGTAGGATGACATGATAGCCTAGATCACATCCATCCAGGTCTCCACAAGCTCCTGCCAGAGTTTCTGGCTGCATCTGAAAGAGCCCATCTCTCATTGAAGACCTGAAAGAAGGGTTGATCTTGAATAGACTCCATTGATGTCTACAAATACTTAGCATGTTGGAATGTGG